AGACAGACAGACAGACAGACAGACAGACAGACAGACAGACAGACAGACAGACAGACAGACAGACAGACAGACGGAAATAACAAAGGGGAGGAGTACAGAAGTAGGACCTACTAGTGGCACCCTCCAACCATCCCCATTTTGGTGAGACTTGCTCCTTATTTCCTGTCAGACATAATTCTATCGTCCTTATCTCTTTTCCTTGTGGGCGGTTTACGGGTGCTCCCCTGCTGTTTTTGTTTGTATGTTTGAGGAAAGAGCAGCACATCGACCCAATAAAGGTTATTAAGTGCTGGGAAAAAGTAAAAGTAAGACAGACAGACAGAAATAACAGACGGGAAAGTACCGAAGTAGGTCATTCCAGTTTCGCCCTCCAACCATCCGCATTCTGGTGTGGTTTGCTCCTTCTTTCCTATAAGACATGATTCAATCGTCCTTATCTCTTCTCTTCGAGTGAGTGGTTGGCGGGTGCTCCTCTGGTGTGGGCTGCTCCTTCTTTCCTATTAGATATAATTCTATCCTCCTTTTCTCTCCTCCTTGTGGGCGGTTGGCGAGTGCTCCCCTTCTGTGTTTGTTTGTATGTTTGAGGAAAGAGAAGCACATCGACACAATAGAGGTCATTTAGTGCTGGAAAATGTGAGACAGACAGACAAACAGACTGATAGATAGACAAAGAGACAGACAGACAAACAGACAGACAGACAGACGGAAATAACAGAGGGGAAAGTACAGAAGTAGGACCTACCAGTGGCGCCCTCTAACCATCCGCCTACTGGTGTGTTTTGCTCCTTCTTTCCTATAAGACATAATTCTATCGTCCTTATCTCTTCTCTTCGAGTGAGTGGTTGGCGGGTGCTCCTCTGGTGTGGTTTGCTCCTTCTTTCCTATCAGACATCTGTCATCCTCATCTCCCCCTCCTTATGGGTGGTTGGCGGGTGGTCCTCGGGTGTAGTTTGCTCCTTCTTTCCTGTCAAATATAATTCTATCTTCTTTTTTCTGTGTTTGTTACTCTCTTGCAACACCGCTAATCTCCGGCACGTATATAGGCTTCCAAAAACTATCAGAGAAGCAGAAAATTTAGAAATTTTTAAGAAGAAACTAAAAGCATTTCTATTTTCATCAAGCTGTATATCGTTGTGAGTTTTATGTGCGTATGTGCATATGTACGTATGTGTGTATGTGTGTATGTATGTGTGTATGTGTGTATGTATGTGTGTGTGGTGCGTGCGTGAGTTTTTTGGTCAATGCCCATGTCTATGATATTGACGCTATCGGATTAGTAGAAAATGTGCGTATGAGAGTGCCCAATCATGTATAACGTACATAATTGTTAGAACATATAACTGTTACATATAGATGTTCAAGATAATTATAGATGTTTTAGAAGGATCTGAGAGCAATGGTGATTTTAGAAATGACGGTTGCGGTCGTGGTGATAAGTTATGATGTGCCCTTTCCAGGATACTAAGACAGCGCTACATTTCACTACCTTGGAAATACAAAGTTCTATTTGCACTGTACCTTTTTTACGAACTTTGCATTGGCTTCCTGTTGAGAAAAGGATTGTGTACAAGTTGGCATCCCTATGTCACAAATTATGTTTGAATGATAATGCACCATCATATTTATCAAATCTGTTAAGACTGTACATTTCAACTCGCAGTTTAAGGTCATCAGCTGACAAAAGGAAATCTATTTTACCATCTATGAAACTTAAGACAATGGGCGAAAGGGTATTTAAATACCAAGGGCCAAGATCTGGAATGCTTTACCAAGTACTTTGAGAGAGATCAAATCTTTTGATATATTCAAATGTCAGCTGAAGTCGTTTCTGTTTTTAAATTAATCAGATGGATATTTGTAATAATTTTCTTTAGTCAGAACACAACGTTTTATATTACTGTTGTATGTTGCATTGTATTGTAAAGCGCTCAGAGCCTGTGTACTTTAATCGGAGTTGGGTGCTAAATGTCATTTATTATTATAATTACGTTGTTTCTTTTTTGGAGAAATTTGACATTTAAAATTCCGAGTTTCACAAGGTGTCACGCTTTTACGAAAGCAATTCTTTGAATATCTTGATAATGGCTCTGAATAATCTTACAGTTTTGACAAAGCAGATAGAACATTTGTGAGGCAGCGTGGTGGAATCAGGCTCTCGTCAATTTTTGGGCTTGTAGAGGTATGGGTATCATCTTAAAGCTTGTTCACTTGTCTTTATTTGAATGGAAAGAATATCCATTTATCTTGAATACAAGTCGAGATATTTGCCAAAAAAGGGGGTGGGGGTCACCTGTTTTATGAGGTAAAATTAATGAGAAAACGGCCGCCAAAGATTAGTTATTTCCTTAGCTTCAGAGTCAGTAGTAACTGAAAATTTAAATTTTTTGTGCCTTTAATCAACGCTTTTCAGAAAAATCCACTCAGAAATTAGTTCTTTAATGGGCATGAAAGGTGTTGAGCCAAAAAAAAAAATGTGATAAAAATTCACAAACCTGCCGAGAAATGCAAGTTTCTTCACTTTGATTATTTTGACGAGAGCCTGATTCCACCGCGCTGCCTCACATTTATTGGTTCCAGACGCTATCGTCTTTATTAACCCAAAGCGGTCAAAAATGTCAGATAGAACTTTGTAATGGCAGTGGGTAGTCTTATTCTCAGTCGCTCCATGGGAAGCTTTCTTGGCGAAGCGTCGAGCCAATTAGATTTTAAACATTTTATATCTATCAATCAAGACTCACCCTACCCACTCTACTGTTTAAACAATGATCATGATGATGATCATGATGATGATGGTGATGATGATGATAATAGCAATGATGATGATGATGATGATTTTGCTGCTGCTAAAGATGATGGTGATGATGATGATGATGATGATGATGATGATGATGATGATGATGATGATGATGATGATGATGATGATGATAA